CTGGCTGAGCACCCAGCAGCACAAATGCACATCCCTGGTGCTAGCATGCTGTGAACGCGGCATCGTCCCGGGCAGCAGCTGCGGAGCAGCAAAGGGACGGCCCGTGTGCGCCTCAGCACAGCGGGCTCCAACCACACGCAGCTCAGCACGCCCCGCCAGGGCTGGCAGGCAGCTTGGGGGCAGCATCCTGCCTGCTGACCCGCGCACGGGGGACCCTCAGCATCCCTCCCACCTGCAACGCAGAAAACGCATCCTCCCCAGTGTCTATCTTGCCCCGAGGGGCTGTTCCCCCTCTCGCCGAGGCCAGGTCAACCCAAGCGGCGTGACCCGAAGCCTTGTGTCGGTGGGCGCAGGGGCCGGCTGCTCCCAGCACCTCGCCGAGATCTGGGGCTGTCGTTGGGATCTGATGTGAAGTCCCAGCGCCAGGCCGGGGCCCACGGCCACTAGAGGTAGCTCTGCACCCACAGACACGCTCGGGAGTCCCGCACAACCCTCACAGATGCGCCCAGTCCCGCCCGCTGCGCCCACGCCCGCAGAGGCAACGCGCTCCGCCGCATCTCCCCCAGAAGCAGCACTCAAAGCCTTGTGAGGAGGAACAGGAGCTTTCCAGGGCCTGAGAGCGAGGAGGTGCTTTTTCTCCTCAAACCCTGGGGCTGATGGAGCATTTAGAACCTTCTCAGCACCCTCCAGGGATCATAAATGGCACCGGGCTCACGGGATCGGTCCCCGAGCATCACTTGGTGCCACTCTGCCTGCAGGGAAACGTGGAGCGGGGACACGGTGCTGCACCTAGAAACAGGCAGCGGTATCAGACCCCTGTAAGCAACAGCGCAGAGAGCTGCCAGAGGGCCAGGCCAGCCCTCTACACCAAGCCCTTTCTTTCACGGGGCACCGTGCCTGGCACCCCTCGCCCTGTAGCCCAGGGGTAACCCTGCGCCTCGGCGTGCCCACAGCACCGGCACAAGTCCCTCGTTCCTTGGCAGACAACGCCCGGCTGTGTTGCTGCGCGGGTCCCTGGCTGTTCAGGCACCCACAAACCATCCGGGGTATGTTCTGGCATCAAAGGATGGAACAAGCACCCCCAGGGAGCTCGGCCGCTGCCCCGCAAGGGAAGGCTCAGAGACAGACCTCTCAGCCTGGCCCCTCGCAGCCCAGCTGAGAAGCAGCTGCAAGAGCCAGAGCACCAGCAGCCCTGGTGCAATGTGCCCGGCAGAGCCCCTTTGTGTCCTCAGGGGCTCAGCGCAGCCCCTGCTCCTACCCCAGGGGGCCCACAGCCCGCTGCAGCAGCGGGCAGCCGGGGATGGGCTCCCTGCCTATGGGTCTTGCTGCACTGCCAGGGCTGTGGCCCTGAGCCCAGAGTGTCAGGGACAGAGCCTGCAGCCCAGGCTCCCCCTCGGAGCGCTGAGCAGAGGGGAGGTGAGCCCGGCTGCCTCCCCGTTTGGTCTGTGGGCATCACGGGCTGCGGCAAGCAACAGGTGTGGAGCATCCCGGGGCGACACCCACTCTGCCAGAGCTGCTCCCCTGACCACGAGCCAGGGCAAGGCAAGGAGCCCCAGAGCATCCCGGGGTGTGTGCAGGTCTCCTTCCCCAGCACCCAGCCCCTGGGGCCCCCAAACCTGAGGCCTGCACAAGCCCACGGCCTTGCTCCACGCCACAACAGGCAGAACCACTGTCTGTACCGCTGGTTGATGAAGTAGCAAAGCAGCCATCGTCAGCTCTCTCAGCTGTACCTCCTGCAAGCGCCCTGCATGGACAGGGACACCAGGGTCAGTCTGGCTCTATTCCTGTCAGGCTCTGAGGGGGAAGCAGGCACAGAAAGTTTTTGAGCTGCCTTGGAAGTGTTTGACCCACTCTGGTATTCAGCTCTTAAACAAGCGGGGTCTCGGTGAGCCCCAAAACACAGGACATGCAGGAACACCCCGAACACGGGTGCTGCATGTTTCCTTAAGGCACACAGCTCAGTCACAGCCTGCGTGCTCTGCTCTGAGGTCTCTGATTACGGAGGTAAACATGACCCTGGCTCCCGGGAGTGCCAGCTCCCCCGCGCAGCGCCCGCAGTCTCATGGGCTCTACCCACCCACCGCCGATGCTTCAGCAGGAACCAGCCGCAGCAATGCCGGGGCCTCCAGTCTCAAACCACTTACCCTGGGCAGGCTGTGCGCTCCCCTGAGAGCTCTCCTCTGCAGCTCCCCCCCAGCACAGCACGCTCCTTTCTGCTGCATCGCGGAGGGGCACAAGGGCTCCTCTCCAGAGGGGCCTGTGGGGAGCATCCCTGCAGAGATGGCCCGAGCAAGGCTTGGCCTACCAGGAGCTGCACAGGCACATCTGAGCGCAAGGAACAGCATCGCCACTGCAACCACTCGCCACAGAGATCAAGTGTATTTGTCCAACCTAAAGGAAAAGATTCAGCTGCAACAATTACCATATTGAACTGCTAGTAGATTTTTAACAGCCTGGCCTGCTTTCTGCCTCAGTCAGACATTCCCAGGGCACAGCAGAGACTGCAGCGCCCAGGGGAAGTTTAAACGCAACCTAAAAAAAAACCCCAGCTACATCAGTGTCTTGGAGTGATGAAGGGTTATCCAAAAACTGTGTCATCCTACCACATACTGAAACCCTCCCACTTGCAGCACTCAGGGCACAGGCCGGCGCTGAAGCATGTAAAAAGCAAGGGGCCAATTTGTGCAGCAAGAGCCAACAGCCTGAATTAAAGGAAAAATGCAGATAAACTCCACTATAAGCCCAGCATCTGGGCAGAGGGAAGGGAGTGCTGTGGAAGGAAGCGGGGTTCAGGTAGCTTCGGCTACCTGGGCACCCAGGACAGCCTCTTTGTTATGCCACACCCACCCACTGCCATTTTGGCCCCAAAACCTTAGTATTTAGCCTCAAAACGTGAAAAAATGTGCAAAAAGCACCTCAGTCCCTTGCAGAGTCCTCTCTGCAGGTAGGAGTTGAAATCTGAGAGGGCTGGAGCCCAGCCTGTGTGTTTGAGGGGAAAATACTGAGCTAGTTTTGAGGCATCTGCTTCGTTTGGGGGAAGACGGACAAAACCCCGTATATGTCCCAAAAGCAAAGGGTGGGGAGGGTGGCCCCACCAAATTTTATTCCCCCAGACCCTCTGCTAGACGGGGATGTGCTCAGTTTCACAGAAAGATAGCCCATTTTGTGGAGCCTTTGAATATTCAAATTGAAAGTATCGCGCAATCATTGATTGTCAAATCATTGGTTTCTAGAGGTTTTAAATACTTGGCATTAGGAGAGAAAAACTCAAACTTATACCCGTAGGGATAAAACAATAATATTGTCGGGATCCACCTGGCATTGCCACCAGGCAAGCAGGTCCCTTCGCCCCCAAATTTTAAGCCCGTCTCCTCTTGCCCCCTTCCCCTGCTCTGGGGCCGGGGCCGGGCTCAGCGCTGCCGCCGCACCGGCCGCCCGGCGAGCTGCTGCTCAGGATGTCCGGTGAGTCCCGCCGCGCCCCCCGCACCCCCCCACCCCATTTTGGGGCTGTTTCGGGGTTCGCCGGGGTCATTTCCCGAGCGAGGCAATCTCG